TTCTGTGAGGCAAAGCACCGCACACATCCTCATCTCTTCTGAGGCGCCCGCTCTCAGACGAAACAAATCCATCTTGTTGTCCAACAAGCGGACGTTCGACAGAAAGAGAGACGGCATGGGGAGTTTACCGGCTTTAGCGTTAGCTCGTAGCCTCACCAGAACCCCCGCCCGGCATCCTCTCCTCTTAAGCCGGGAGCAGCGCTTCCTCTTCTGCCCGCTGGAACGCCTCTGTTGCAGCTTCCAGGTAGATGACTTTAAGATCCGCATTCTGCCGAGCATAGTTTTGAGTTCCTTGCTGATTTCTGCTATATTTTGTGTCAAATCCGCTCCTATTCTCATCAGTTCGGTTCGGCTATAGTTCTCACACATAAATCATGCGGAGTCAGGCACAGAGTCAATATCAAAACTTCTAAAAACTGGGATGGTACTGGTATCCTGTGAAGCTGCAACTGCTCTGAGCGCAGCCATCTTTCATCAGGAATGTCCTTGGCAGCTTGCCTGGCTGCAGAGATGCATTCTTGTTTTTTGCTGTTTTGTTCAAAAAGACGGACTCATTAAAAGACAGAAATTAATCTGACATTCATGCCCATGATGTGTGGATGGAAACCTCTTACTGCAATTGGAGCTTTAATTGGATCTCAGGAATATTTCCCTCCAACATGTTGAAAGAAGAGACACAGCCTTTAGTTCAACTTTATTCTAACCCATGGATGTACAAATCACTAAACAAATATTCCACTTTAAATTAAAGCTTTAAATCAAAGCTAAACTTTTAATCAAAGCTAAAAGTAATCTGTATACAAGAAAAAATAATCTGTATACAAGAAACAAAACAATGAGTGCAAATACATCAAATGATGAAGAAAAATACAGAATTTTAAACATAAATGTTTTTGTACAATCTGGTTCATCAGATTTAATTCATTTTATTTACACAGCGCCAAGTCACAGCAGAAGTCGTCTCAGGGCACTGAACAGAAACATTCATATTTAAAAATAATACTTTAACATTGTTTATCTGAGGAGCCAACAGATTACTCCTCCCTGTGGACAGGGGGCTGTCTGAGGTAGATGGTTATGGTACAGTCCCCCGGAGCTGAAGATGCTTTCCTTGTCCAAAACATGAAAATGAGCCAATTTATAATTTTCTCATCCACACCTTTGCTAGCAAGTGCTCTTTCTATAGCTTCTTCTACAGGCACATTATCAAACGCCTGCTGTATGTTCCCAGGAAGACCTGTTAAATACTGTTATGTTGTTCAGGACTTAAAGGTGATAAAGTTAGCATACCATCCCTTATATGTCGCTCTATCAGCTTCTCCATTCCCTTCAGCAGGAAGGATGTTAAACTGATGGGTCTGAAAGATTTTGCTTCTTTATATGTTTGCTTACTAGCTTTGGCCAGAATAACAACTTTTGTAACTTTATTACCTAAAACTGGAGACCTTGTGTCTCAGTCAAAATACTTCTATGAATAAAGGTAAATATATAAACTATCAGTGAAAACAGATAGCCTGTGATGGACTTGTGTCATATAAAGTTCATTAAAAGTTCATTAGCAGGATTTTGGATTCTGGACACGCATCCAGAACTGGTCCTGGAGTGCGGTGCAAATCCAGGCTGAGCAGAGTTCAATTCAATTCAATTTATTTATAAAGCACCAAATCACAACAAAGTTGTCTCAGGGCACTTTACAGAAACATTCACATAAAAGTTAATTAGTAAAGTTCTCTATCTAAGGAATCCAGCAGACAAGTTGAATCTTGGCTTCGTTGCAGTCTCCCATCCTGAGCAAGCACAGTGGAGACAGTGGAAAGGAAAAACTCCCTTTTAAAAGGAAGAAACCTCCAGCAGAACCAGGATCAGGACAAGAGACCATCTGCTTTGACCGGCTGGTTGAGAGGACAGGAAGGAGAGACAGACGAACACAGAATGGTAGGTCCAGGTATAGGTCCAGGTCCAGGTATAGGTCCAGATATAGGTCCAGGTGCAGGTATAGGTCCAGGTCCAGATATAGGTCCAGGTCCAGATAAAGGTCCAGGTGTATCTGAAAGACAAAAACATGTTAAGGATAGAAAAATAATTACAAATACAAAACAGGTTAATCAGAGTAAGTAAAGACAGTAGCAGAGTGAAAATTGTGGTCAGTTTGTCCTCCAGCAGTCTAAGCCTATAGCAGCATAACTAAGGGACAGCTCAGGAAACCCAAGCCGACCCTAACTATAGGATTTATCAAAAAGGAAAGTCTTAAGTCTAGTTTTAAAACTGGACAATGTGTCAGTCTCACGGACAGAGATTGGAAGTTGGTTCCACAAGAGAGGAGCCTGATAATTGAAGGATCTGCCTCCTATTCTGTTTTTGTAAATTCTAGGAACCACAAGTAAACCTGCAGTCTGAGAGCGAAGTTCTCTGTTAGGAAAATATGGAACAATAAGATCTGTAATATAAGATGGAGCTAGGTTGTTGAGAGCTTTGTAGGTTAGAAGTAAGATTTTGAATTCTATTCTGGATTTGACAGGGAGCCAATGGAGAGAAGCTAAAACTGGAGAGATATGATCTCTCCCAGTAACTCCAGTTAAGACTCTGGCAGCAGCATTTTGGATCAACTGAAGACGTTTTAAAGAAGTATTTGGACACCCAGATAATAAACCATTGCAATAGTCCAGTCTAGACGTGACAAATGCATGGACCAGTTTTTCTGCATCATCTTTAGATCAGATGTTTCTAATGTTAGTGATATTACGCAGGTGGAAGAAGGAGGTTCTAGTAACGTTTTTAATGTGGGGGATAAAAGACATGTCCTGATCAAAAATAACACCAAGATTTTTAACATTAGAGCTGGAGGACAGATTAATGCATCTAAGGAGGGAGAAAGACTGAAACATTCATTCCTAAGGTGCTCAGGTCCAAAAACCAAAACCTCAGTTTTGTCTGTGTTCAACAAGAGAAAATTAAGGGTCATCCAGGTTTTTATGTCTTTAAGACATGCTTGTAGTCTAAGTAGCTGATTGGATTCATTGGGTTTCATGGACAAATATAATTGTGTGTCATCATCATAACAATGAAAATTCATCCCATGCTGTTTAATAACTTTACCTAATGGAAGCATATATAAAGTAAAGAGTATTGGCCCAAGCACTGAGCCCTGAGGAACTCCATAACTAACTTTGGTGTATGAAGAAGATTTATTATTTACATTTACAAACTGGACTGTATCAGATAGATATGATTTAAACCATTTTAGAGTTGTTCCTGTAATCCCAACATCATATTCAAGCCTCTGTAGTAAAATATTGTGATCAACTGTATCAAATGCAGCACTGAGGTCTAACAGGACCAGTAGAGACACAAGTCCATTGTCTGAGGCCATGAGAATATCATTAGTTACTTTTACTAGTGCTGTTTCTGTGCTATGATGAGCTCTAAACCCTGACTGAAACTCTTCAGATTATTTCTTTGTAGATGTTCACGCAACTGACCTGCAACTATTTTCTCTAGAATTTTTTAGATGAAAGTTAGATTAGATCAGTCCTTCTAAAATAGTTTGGGGTGCCCCCCCTGGGGGGCCCGGAGCAATGCCGGGGGGGGGGGGGGGGGGGGCATGTGACCCCGAGGAACATTTTGGGGCAGGGAGTCGTTTTTTTGTTTTGTTTTTTTTGCACCATTCTCATTTTGTCTGGGTGCGTTCAGCAACTGTTTGCTAAAATCTGGCAACTCTCAGTTTTAATAATAATAAAGTTATGAACAAATATGTCTGTCTTGTCGTTTGAGGAGCCATGCTTGAACCGTGTCGCTTCCCTCTGCTGCTGAGCAGCTGGTGACGCTCGTCACCCGCAGCATGCGTTAGTTACCTGCCCCACTTTCACTTTCACGTTTTTTTTGGGGGTTGTCAAAGCACAATTTTCATGTTTTTTTAAATACAGAAGTAATGTTTAATAAATGTTAGGACTCTGTTCTTTGCTTACAAGTCCTCAGCTCTGGACGCATTTCAGCCATAGCGCGCAGCAACAAAGAGTATAAATTCAAAGCGAGAGTGACACCTGCCCCCTCTTTCCTCTTTCACACTGACAACATTTTTTAGTTTTATCGACTGTCAAAATACAGTTTCCATGTTTTTTTATTTGTTGGAAAAACGTATGTTTAACAAATGTTAGGACTCTATGCTAACAAAATATATTTTATGTCATTAAACAACTTGTCAGGTTCTTCTCTTGTGAGTGCTTTCCCCTGGTCCCCCCCCCCCCCCCACACACACACACACACACACACACACACATACAGCTCGCTCGCTCTTGCGCTCTTTGCAACTTCTCTGTTGCTCTGAAGACCAAGTCCAGGTCCAGCTAAACACCAATCAGGAGCTGAGAGTTGCAGGGTCATGTTTCAAACTGCACTTCAAAAATCTGTGCACTGCAAAGCGCGCTCATTGTAGCCATTAATCCTGACTTCATAATAATAAATAATTGAGAAGCACTGGGTTAGATATAGATCTATAGTTGGCCAGAATTTCTGAATCAAGGTCAGACTTCTTAAGTAAAGGTTTAATTACAGCAACCTTAAAGCTCTGTGGTACATAACCATCCATTAAAGACAAATTAAGTAGATCCAAAATGTGGACATTAATTAGGGGAAATAGCTCTTTAAACAGTCTGGTTGGGATGGGATCTAGCAGGCATGTGGATGGTTTGGATGAGGTGAATCTGAGTAGGAGCGGTGCAAAAGGGGGCATTTGTTTTCTGTTGTGGTTTCATTTTTATATTACAATCTGTACTGTGTTTGACCAATTTTTTATGAAGTTCATCTCCTTTTGTTCTTTTTTAACCACTGTGTTGTGAAAAATTAAGGTACAGAACAGTTCAGAAGTTTAAATTCAGCCCTCATTTTAAAGTCTGGATCTTTAGAATATTAGTCATGAAATTGAGGAGTAAATTAAAAGTTTTTTCTCAGGTCTCAGTGTAATGAGCTGACAGCACTCACTGACCTCTGTCCTCCTCTTTTAGGTGGTAAGGGTCTTCTTGATGTGCAGCCACATTGGGTGTCTGCGCTGGCGTGGCCTGAAGAGGAAGCAGAATCTTTGTGGTGTGGCGAGCCCAAAGACGTGCTGCTGGTGGGCCGAATGGATGGATCTCTGGGCCTTATTGAGGTTTTAGATACAACAAGTATGCATCGAATGGAACTGGAGCACTGCTATAGAAAAGACGGTACGGACTCTTAGCCTCCTCACATTATGTGTTTAATTTCAAACTATAAGAAAAACTAAGCTTTGGGTCCTGTTGTAGTGGCAGTGATGCACATTGCCTGGTTCAGTGAGGACAAGCCTTTTGCAGTGGGTTATGCAGATGGAAAGCTGCTGATTGGATCCAAAGAACCCTTAGAAAAAGGAGCCATTGTGGTCATAGATGCACACAAGGTGATCTGATTCTACTTCAATCATTAAACCCTTTGTGTAACTGGTTGGACATTTGTAGCCAGATTCATCCCAGTCTGTTTTTCAGGAGTCCATTACCAGTATGAAGTGGAGCTCCACTGGTCAGATGCTGCTGACATGTGCCAAAGAGGAGACGGTGAAGCTGTGGGCCAGTCTGGACTCGGGCTATGGTTCTGGTTGGTGCTGTCTGCAGAGTATTAGACATCCCTCCCTGGTTACCGGCGCAGCTTGGTGCGGTCTGCCAGGACGCGGCGCAAAGCTCCTTAGCATGTTCGCCATGTAAGAGTTTACTGCAGTGTTGGTGTGATGTTGTGGGTCACGTATCATGTATTGCATCATTAAATACCTTCTCGTAAGGAGTTGTCAGTTTACCTAAAAACACACAGTAAAGTAATAACACAGGACATGTGATAAAATAAAAAATGTAAATTATATTTGATAAAAAAAAAAAACTGTTCTCAGTTTGGGAATTGCTTAAAACTTTTCAACTTGATGCTAGAAAAATAATGTTGCAGAATTAGCTAGAAATTATTTAACAACTTTGCACAAGTCCTGTGCATTTTTTGATGCACCAACTACTTTTAATGTGAAACATCTTAAAGTCTCATACGTCTAAAAGCAACATTATTTCCTGCAGTAAGGAAGGAATTCCAGTGCTGTACACAGTTTTCGAATGAACTGCATATTTAGAAAAAAAAAAAAATTGTTGTGGGTTTGTTTTGTTTGCAAGCTCAGCTCTTAACAGGAACTCTTACGTTTGATCATATTTCACCAGTTTTGTCCTCCCTTCACTGGCTCACAGTATGTACCAGAATAGATTTTAAAATTCAAGTGCCTAAATGGCCTTGCACCCTCATATCACTCTGATCTACTGCAACCAGATGTTCCTTCTCAGGCGCTGAGATCATCTGACCAGCTGCTTTTGGTTGAAGCTCAGAGGAGATCAGGCTTTTAGACGTTGGCTCTAAACTCTGGAACAATCTGCCCCACAACATTTATTTAATTTAATCCCATTGAGATCACAGATCTCTTTTGCAAGGGAGGCCTGGGCCTGAAGGCAGACTAACATGCATGTTTTTACAGGGTCAGTCTGGACTCATCAGACCACATGACCTTCTTCCATTGCTCCAGAGTCCAATCTTTATGCTCCCTAGCAAACTGAAGCCTTTTTTTTTCCAGTTAGCTTCACTGGTTAGTGGTTTTCTTAAGACTACACAGCTGTTCAGTCCCAGTCTCTTGAGTTCTTCACATTGTGTGTGGAAATGTTCTTATTTTCATTATGAACCACAGCCCTGAGTGCTGCTGGTGTTCTCCTTCCATTTAATTTCACCAAAAGTTTAAACGATCACTGATCACCATCATTCAGGATTGTTTTCCGGTCACATTTCTTCCTGGAAGACGATGGGTCCCCACTGTCCTTCCAGTTTTTAATAATGTGTTGGACAGTTCTTAACCCAGTTTTAGTTGTTTATACAATCTCCTGAGATGTTTCCTCTGTTTGATGCCAATGATTTGACCCTTCTCAAACAGACCGACATCTTTTCCACGACCACGTCACGAGTCTTTCATCATGTTGTTTAAGAACTGAGAAGCAACTCATGCACCAGTTGGAGTTAAAGAACTTGTTGCAGCTGAAAGATAATCGTCCATGCAGTAATTATCCAACAGGAGCCTCGGACCTGTTTGATGAGTTAAATCCAGGTGGTGACTTTTTTTTGGGCCAGACACTGTATAATATATATATATATATATATATTTTTTTTTTTTCTTGAAAACTTTGTTTTTATTTTATTTTTTTTATGTTTTTTTATTTTTGGAGAATGCGTGAGCGACCACGCTCCTACTGTTTACTCTCGGGACCAGCTGCTTTCCCTCCGCAGCTCCGCTGTGCCTCCTCCTGCAGAGCGACCTGATGTCCCCCGCGAGCTGAGAAGGAAGAGATGCGGGAGACGTGCAGGCATAGGGCGTCGCAGCCAGGGCAGAAGGTACAGACCTGTCCTCCCGTCCATCATTATGGGAAATGTGAGATCTCTTCACAACCAAGTGGACGAGCTGGCGGTTCTAACGAGACATCAGTGGAGCTACCGGGAGATCAGCCTCATGCACCTGATGGAGACGTGGCTGACTGAGTTAACTCCGAACTCACATATTAACATGGACGGCTTTCATTTACTTCATGCGGACAGAACCAGAGAGAGTGGTAAGAGGAGAGGAGGGGGTGTGGCTGTGTTTGTGAATGATAGATGGTGTAACTGGACATTTAACCATCAAACAGACGCTCTACAGTAAAGACATTGAACTTCTAGCAGTTGGTATGAGACCACACTATCTTCCGCGGGAGTTTTCACACGTTATTGTGATAACGGTGTATGTCCCGCCCTCTGCTGATGCTGCTGCAGCCTGTGACATCATTCACACCACCACCAGCAGACTCCAAACACAGCACCCACAGGCCCTCTTTCTGATCTCTGGGGCTTTTAATCATGTTTCCCTGTCCTCCACTCTCCCTACCTTCACCCAGTATGTCACCTGCCACACCAGAACTACCAACACACTGGATCTACTTTTTGCCAATACCAAGGAGGCATACAGTTCATCACCTCTGCCTCCCCTGGGGGGCTCAGATCACAATCTGGTTCATCTGCAGCCTGTGTATAAACCCCTGGTGCGCAGAGAACCAGCTGTGACGAGCACAGTGAAGCAATGGACTGAGGAGACTGAAGAAGCTCTGAGTGACTGTTTCAGCTCCACTGTGTGGGAAGAGCTCTGTGCTCCTCATGGGGAGGACATTGACAGCATCACGGACTGCATCAATTTCTGTATGGACAACACTGTGCCCATCAGGACAGTACGGCATTTCTCCAACAACAAACCATGGATTAATCCTGAAATAAAGGCTCTCCTGAAGGAGAAGAAAAGAGCATTTAGATCAGGTAACGAGGAGGAACTGAGAGTTGTGCAAAAAGAACTGAGAAGGAAGATTAGGGATGGAAAAAACATCTACAGGAAAAAGATGGAAGATCAGCTGAAGCAGGGCAACATCAGTGGGGTGTGGAGGAGCCTTAAAAACATATCAGGCCACAACTCAAGCCCCCAGGCTGTAGGAGACAAAGGGTGGGTGAATGACTTGAACCAGTTCTTTAACAGATTTGATCTGCCACCCCACCCCTACTCCAGCCCTGTCCCCCCTGCTGTCAGCCCCATCATCTTTAATGACTGCTAACTTCTCTTCTCAGGAATTCACACCTCTCAGCTCTCAGCCATTAGCCTCCCCCTTATTCCAGAAGACTTCATTTCACAGCCCCCTTCCCCCACCTCCATCTTGTCCCTATCAACTCTTCAGGTGAGGAATGAGCTGCGAAAGATCGAGGTGCGTAAAGCTGCAGGTCCAGATGGAATTAGCTCCAGGCTCCTGAGGTGCTACTCAGATCAACTGTGTGGCATCATGGGATTTATGTTCAATCTGAGCATGAAGCTGGGGAAAGTACCACAACTGTGGAAGACCTCCTGGGTGGTACCGGTACCAAAAACCAAACATCCCAAGGACCTCAGTAACTACAGGCCGGTGGCTCTGACCTCACATTTGATGAAGACCCTCGAGAGGCTGGTCCTCAACAATTTGCGCCACCTGGTGAGGTCTTCATTAGATCCATTGCAGTTTGCCTACCGGCCTGGCATTGGGGTGGATGACGCCATCATCTACCTCAGGCACCAAGCTCTGACCCACCTGGAGAAACCTGGAAGCACTGAGAGGATCACGTTCTTTGATTTCTCCAGTGCTTTCAACACCATCCAGCCAGGACTTCTGCGGGACAAGCTGGAGTTATCAGGAGTGGATCACCACATGTCCCAGTGGACACTGGATTACCTCACTGGACACCCACAGTATGTGAGGACACAGGGCTGTGTCTCTGACATGCTGGTCTGCAGTACGGGGGTCCCACAGGGAACTGAGCTGGCACCGTTCCTCTTCACCCTCTACACTGCAGACTTCACCATCGACTCCCCACACTGCCATCTGCAAAAGTTTTCTGATGACTCTGCCATAGTCGGCCTCATCACAGGTGAGGACGACTCAGAGTACAGACAGCGGACTCAAGACTTGGAGGACTGGTGCCAGCAGAACCGCCTCCTGATCAATGCTGGTAAAACTAAGGAGCTGGTTGTGGATTTCCGCAGGCACAGGTCCACCTCACTGACCCCGGTGAACATCCAGGGTGTGAACATCGAGATTGTGGACTCTTACAAGTACCTGGGTATTCACCTGAACAATAAACTGGACTGGTCTCACAACACTGATGCACTTTACAGGAAGGGTCAGAGCAGACTCTACCTGCTGAGGAGACTGAGGTCTTTTGGAGTGCAGGGGGTGCTCCTGAAGACCTTCTTTGACTCGGTAGTGGCATCAGCCATCTTCTATGGTGTTGTGTGTTGGAGCAGCAGCTTATCATCAGCTGAGAAGAAGCAGCTAGATAAGCTCATCAAGAAGACCAGCTCTGTGCTTGGACGCCCCTGGACCCAGTGCAGGTGGTGGGAGACAGAAGGACTCCAGCTAAAATAACATCATTGCTGGACAACGTCTCCCACCCCATGAAGCTGCTGCTGAACTGGAGAGCTCGTTCAGTGACAGGTTCCTGCTCCTAAATGCACAAAGGAGCGTCACCGCAGGTCCTTCCTCCCAGCAGCTGTTTGACTCTACAACCATCACTGCTCCAACAAACTCAACAAGGATTAAAGACATGCTGACCTCTGCTGAAACACACACTCTGCCTGTAACACTGTACTGTCAATAGTCTGTCCTTATCAATGTTCCAATACATATTGAACATTATTATTGATATTGTTTATCTTATTTCTTATATATTGTGTTGTTTATTAACATTTAGGAACTTTTGTGTGAAATCTTTAAATCTTTTTATCTGTTGCTGCTGATACACTGGAATTTCCCATCCGTGGGACAATAAAGGCTGTTTCTATTCTATTCTATTCTATTTCTATTCTATTGTATTCTAAAACTACTAAAATTTGAACAAATCTTCCTAATGAACTTCCCTCGTGTCCAGACATTGCAAAGGAAGTTACGTTCCAATAAAAGTGTAATTTTTTGCTGCATGTTTTGTCTTAGTTTTTTTAATTATTATTTATTGATTTTTAATAATTTTTTTTATTTTTTTATTTTTTATTTTTTTATGTAGATGTTGTCAGAATGGCCTGGTCTTTGTCTGGACCATTCCTCAAGAAATTTCCAACTTCCCAGAATTCAGTTTGTCAGATTCAGAACTGCGGAAACCTGAAACCAAATCCCAACTAACGGTAAGTTTTGACCGTTTCGTTAGAGATCAGATGAACGTGTGAATATCTGTGTGAAATATTGGAAGCCACTTGTGTTGTAGACAGCCTGAAGTTGTAATGTTGTGTTGCAGTCTTCCCGATGTTCTGTGGGCGGAGCTGTGTGTGTTTTCCAGCTGAAGGGACACATCACTCCGGCGCGAACGCTGGCCTTCAGCCCTGATGGCCTTGCCCTGGCATCTGGAGGGGTGGGAGGTCTGATGAACATCTGGTCTCTGCAAGTAAGACTCACAGCTAAACAAGTTAAATATGTACAGGTTTATGACTCCCTGCCATTGGGTAATGTTTTGTGTCCTTATCTAACAGGACGGATCTGTCCTTCAGACCGTAGTGGCGGGTTCAGGGGCCATCCAAAACATCGTCTGGATTCCAGATGTGGGAGTGGCTGTCTGCTCCAACAGATCAAAGGTGAAAAGTGAAGACATATCCCCCTTTCTTTTCATTCAATTCAATTCAGTTTATTTATATAGCGCCAAATCACAACAAAGTTGTCTCAGGGAACAGGAACAGTCACATACATAGAAAAGTCAATTGGTACAGTTCTCTATCTAAGGAATCCAGCAGACAAGTTGAATCTTGGCTTCGGTGCAGTCTCCCATCCTGAGCAAGCACAGTGGAGACAGTGGAAAGAAAAAACTCCCTTTAACAGGAAGAAACCTTCAGCAGAACCAGGCTCAGGACAAGCGGCCATCTGCTTTGACCGGCTGGTTTGAGAGGACAGGAAGGAGAGACAGACGAACACAGAATGGCAGGTCCAGGTATACTTTCTATAGGAAGAAAGATGAAAAAAAAAACATCTTAAGGATAGAAGTCAAGTCAAGGTTTCTTTATTGTCATGCACATCATGTGGTACAAGTGGTGGGACGAAATTATGTACACAGGGTCCCAGTTTACATCCAACAAAAGTATAATTGTAAAGAAATGGATTGTCAGCAGCACACATCAACAAAGTGGCATTACAGTGATTTTTTTTTATTATCTTAGTTAGAGATGTTTGAGTCTAACAGCTTCAGGGTAGAAGCTGTTCCTCAGTCTAGTGGTTCTACACTTAATGCTCCTCAACCTCCTTCCTGAGGGGAGTGGGGAAAAAGTGTGTGTGCTGGGTGAGTATGGTCCTTCATGAAGCAGATGGCCCTCTTCCTGCATCTGGAGGTGTAGATGTCTGTGATGGTGGGGAGACTGACTCCAACATCTTCTGTGCAGCCTTCACCACTCTCTGCAGAGCTTTTCTTTCTGCAGCTGTGCAGCCTCCATGCCACACATTGATGCTGGAGCACAGGATGCTCTCCACTGCACACCTGTAGAAGGAGGTGAGGACTGAGCTTCCCAGACCAACTCGTCTCAGCCGCCTGAGGAAGTAGAGTCTCTGATGAGCTTTCTTGATCAAGCTGGTGGTGTTGTTGCTCCAGCTGAGGTTGTTGTTCATGTGTACACCCAAGTACATATAGCTGGAGACCACTTCCACTGCAGATTCTCTTATGTTCGGACGGCAGCTCCCTCCGGCTTCTCTGCAGTCTTTTATCATCAAACTGACCCGTTTTTCGAACCGGACTAAAGTTGGTCCCCCTTCCAATCGAATTTGAATGCACAGGGGAGCCCCCCTCAGCCCAACTCAAACTGCAGTTGGGCCACCTCGTCGGGTTTGTTTGCCCATTTGATTTGTGACATTTTATGGTCTTAGACTTTTCTGCACCATTCATATTATTGTCATTATTTTCAGATCTCAGACTGTCTGGAGTCACTGAATCTTGTTAATACACCTGGATCTGCCCATCACTGCAACTTTCACTGTTTTTGGGTTCTGAATGATCACGTCTTCATTAATGTTTCTCATGGTTCGATTATGGGGGCTAATTGTCACACTGTTAACTCCTGTAATTACACATCAGTCATGAAAAACTCAAGAAAATGTCTGATAATAATGTTGTTACTGCTCTCAGGGATTCAACCCAACCCTGGACCCCCCACTATTTATAGGACACCAAATGACTTTAAAAACATGTCAGGACTTCATTTTCTACATGTAAACACACGCAGCCTTCTGAGAAAACTTGATGCCTTGAAAATTCTGATCCGTTCTTCTGGGACAGATGTAATCTTCATCTCTGAAACCTGGCTCAACAAATCTGTAATGAATAATGACCTGGCAATCAATGGATTTAACATCTACCGCTGTGATCGTCAAAAAAAAAGGGGGGGGGGGGGTGGAGTCGTTATTTACATTAGAGATTATCTGGTTGCTAGTCCTGTGTCTTCTAAAACAATTCCAAACCAGTTTGAAGCCTTTGCTGTAAACATCACCTTGAATGGAGGCCAGATCTTAACTGTAGTCTGTTGTTATCGTCCCCCTTCAGCAACACCTGAGGCTCTGTCCTCCCTGATGGAATTCCTTGGTAATTTAAAATTCAAAGAGATTTTTTTTGGCTGGAGATTTCAACATTGACTGGGTAAGTCGACCCCCCTCTGTGATAAATTCAAGGAATGTTGCCTGTCTCTCAATCTAACCCAACTGATCAACTCTCCGACAAGATTAAACAAAAGCTGTCCTGAAAAGTCCTCCATCTTAGACCTGTTTCTAACAAATATATCTCAAATTCCCAGGTACAAGTGTATTCACTAACATTATGAGTGATCACTGTGTGACAGTGACTCTTAGAGATATTAAACTTCCACCTTCTAAGCCCAGATTAATAAAAAAAAAAAGGGATCTGAAACGTTTTTGTGAACAGTCATTCCTCTGGGATCTGTCTCACTTTGACTGGCATCGTATTATATTAACTGATGACGTGAACTCCTCTTGGAACCATTTTCATAATAGTTTCATTTATTTTGTGAACAAACATGCTCCTTTTCGTCAGTTCAGAATAAAGGGACGAGACAGCCCCTGGTTTACTCCAGAGCTAGCTGACCTCCTGCACAGGAGAGACCATTCTTGGGCCACAGCGAGAAAATCGGACTCAGGCACTGATTGGTTGAGTTTTCAACAGATGAGGAATAAATGTACAACTGCTGTCAAAGCAGCAAAACGTAACTATTTCTTATCTCAGACATCCAAAAAATTTAATGACCCTAACAGATTCTGGAAAACCATGAAATCTCTCTCAGGCACCCCCCAATCATCTGACCTCCCATCACAACTTCTCATTAACTCTGTTCCTGTGTCAAATAAGCACGAGATCCTGAACTGTTTCAACAAACATTTTGTTGCTTCTAGTTCTTTATTTGACACAGTTACTAACAGAATATCAGGCCATTTCACTTAATAACCAAACTTCTACAAATCAAATCCCTCCTACAATCAATCCTCAATCACACCTTCTCTTTTTCTCCATTCTCAGTCAGTGAGGTCAATAATCTGTTAAATGGCCTTGATCTTAAAAAATCTGCAGGTCCAAATGAACTTCCACCTGTAGTATGCTAAGGCTAGGTTAGCTTCAGTTAGCTTAGGAGCTCCACTACAGTCAATTTTTAATAACGGGTTCTCACTTTTTCAAGCTACTTGACAGATATGTGACAGAGGTACTGTGTTGGAGATGGTCTAATCAGTGACATGAGACATTAATTTTCTTTGACCCATCAAAATGAATGTGGTCATTTATTAACAGAATCTAAATTTAACATCAAAACATTGTACACTTGATTATGCTATCGGCTCTGATTAATAAAACTTGGCGGCATGTTTTACTTAATAAAAACAACAGACATTTCTGAAGATATCTGGAATAATTACTGGCAAGATAGAAGTTTGAAGATGGGAAATGAAGGAGTTTAAATGGAGAGAAAATGGATGGATGAGGATGTATGTCTGTAGACCAGAACAACACGCTCCTTTCAAGCGCAGTTCGCCCACAGTACACTGGTAGTGAAGCTCATGACGACTCTTTACCTTGGCAGAGGATGAATCAGCTGCGGTCAAGAGGTCCCTTGCACACTACCTTTCAGCGTCTCCTCAGGGCGGCTGCGACTCGGCAGAAGCCATGAGATAATCCGTTCCACAGAACAAACTTCCTCAGAAGTTATAGGGCATTCGCCGGGTGGACTCACATGAGCTGTGAGTCCATCAGAGGTTCCACTCAGATGTGGAAGGCTCCATAATCCCAACTAGACTCGGAAGAACTCCCAACTAACTCCAGCACTTCAGAACTTTCTCCAGGCTAGAACTTCAGAACTAGGAAGTGTCGACTTTTAAAGAGTTCTGCTTCCGGTCACTTTTGGGAAGTCCTGATTGTTTAAAAGAACCAACAGGGGTGTGTATCCTGATGCATGCTCAATAATCCAGGTAGAAAAATCCAAAAAAGTTCAATCTGGTCCTCTGGACATTCAAAAAAACAAAAGCAAAACAAAGCAAAAAAATCTAGAAACGTTTCTTCTCTCATCCAAGAGACTTCCTCAGTCTGAGGTGCTGTTTTCAGCTCAGTCTCTTAAATAGCACCTTCTTAGAGTGGATCAACCAGTTTGCTGCTGACAACCAAAACCAGCTGATCACATGCTCAAGAACTTCTTGAGCATGTGATCAGCTGGTTTTGGTTGTCAGCAACAGGGGTGTGGTTTTAGTGACTTCAGAGGGTCATTACAAGTCAGAAAAACAACGGAGATGTTTAGGAACAGACAGAGAAATGTTTTGGAGAAATGATAGACTTACAGGTGCCAGTTGTCTTGTTTCTGTCTGAGAGGTTTAAAAACATGACAGTTCGTTCCAATAAACTTGTTTGCAACTGTCTCCGACTTTTGACCGACATCACTCCTTTCTCATTTCAGACTGAAGATCAAAAATGCATAATTACTTTGTAAAATAGACATTTAACTTGATTTCTACTTTAAATGAGGATTAAAAAATCATTAATACTGTTTCACAGTTGATTTAAAATGAGTGGTTCATTTCAACATTTAAAAATGGTATGAACTAAACACACTTTTGATTATCAAGATATTGTAAAATAGTAATGATAATATGAAAAAGAGAGTGTTCTTTCAATTGATTAGTTCAGGATACATCTTGATGCATGCTCAATAATCCAGGTAGAAAAATCCAAAAAAGTTCAATCTGGTCCTA